CCCCTTTGCAAAGTAAACTTCTTTGCCAGTGGGATAGAACATATATTTTTATACTAGGGCTAGGTTTAGAACCATGAGATAGCACTTACAAAATTTGTAAACTATTAAACTATAATAAAGAGTTTCATTTATTAATTGAGAAAAGTAAATATAAAAATTAACTCTATACTATTATTTCTATCTAGTTACTTGTAATTTCCTGGTTACAAATAAATTTTAATTGTTATCCTCCAATTTTATATTATAGATTTTGTTACTAAAACTAAGAATAGAATGAAAATCACAAAGATATATTTATTATAACTGGGAAGCTCCGAAGGTAGAGGCTAATTGGTATATAGTTATCAGTTATATGGTTGTAAATAAAGTAGAACAATTCTGTAGTACAGTAGACTTGGAAAGACTATAAAAGAAATTAAAAGGAGTTTTACAGTATGATACACTTTATTATGGATACCTGCTCTAAGCTGAGTTGTGTGACTGCAAATTTTTTTCTTCCACGCACTTATAGCATGTTTGCTGAATACATATATATATTTTTACTGCTGAATTTTTTTATTGGTATATATGCCAGTGCTATTTTCAATTCCCATTACAATACATCTTTATTGGTATATGCCAAACAGAGTCTAAGTATTATAGATACTTAAATAATAGAATTATATACAAATATAATTTTTAAGTTTATTTTTTAAACTTCTTAAAAATATACCTTGTTCAAGTTAGATTAAAACTATATAAAGATCTAAATACTTACTAGTACTATATTGTTAAGAATCCTACAGAGTAGGACTGAGCGACAGGTAACAATACTTCTCTTGATGTAAGGTGATAGTTCTCAGGCCTGTGCCTACGCGATCCCGATAGTCCAGTCCTATGACTACTATCTTGTTTGCGCCTATCTCCTTATTCTTCTCCTTAGTCCTTGCTTAGGACTTAATCTCTCCTCGTGGGAGGAAAGACAATTCTTGGGTTTCTTAAGATAAATCTTAAGGAGCGTAAGGGTAGGTTTTATTGATAATAACTTGAAGGTAGGAAATAAACAAGAAGAACGTATGAAGAGCTCATACTCAAGATCCTAGTGACCCCTTTATATAGTAGCTCTTCACCTGGCATGACTCATACCTTGCGTCACGCGAACCCTGTGACTCATAACCATGAGTCATGTGAAATCCATCAGCCGACTCCTATGAGTTGCTGCACAACCTGCCTAAAACCAATCAAAATATAATAACCAAGTCAGGTGCACAACTTGCGTCACCTGAGTGAACCCCATGACTCATAAGTATGAGTCATGTGCGAAAATCATAACATCATGTGACTCACAACTGTGAGTCACGAACAGGTAAACATAATAACCTATGGCGCACTAGTGTGCGTCATGTAAAATCCCAACATACCTATAACTCGAAAGTCCGAGCTATGTGAAATCTGCCTTGCTTAGTCACAGTTTGTGACATATATTATAGTAACTTGAATCTATTAAGATTTAATTTTCTATAACAATAATTCTAATCAGTAAGTATTTACAATTATATAATTTACTACCTTACTATTTTATATCTTACTCTTATAATAGTTCACCTGTAAGAGCTGCAGTCTAAGTACAATTAGAGATTAGAGAGAAAACAGTTTATCTTTACTATTATTAATATATTATATCATAGCTCTAATGTGACTTATTCTATAGTACATACAATAACCAACCCGGACCCCAGAAAGCAATGAGTTTCAATGTATGCAGGGGGTATTGAACAAAAATGTCAGTCTCCGAGATATGTTTGACTTTCAAAGTCATGGCAAATGCCACTGCTAGTATCCTACTGGTACAGTACAAGTATCATAGGATATAAAAGCTCTTTCGTTCATGGTGGGTTGGCCGGGTAACCCTTAACACTCAGGAAACCCTCTCGACGCACTCTTCCTAGCGGCCTTGCAAGGTATCGTATCTGTACTCAAATACCATGTACTGTACTCACACGAGTAACTTATAGGAAATATAGAGGCCAATACAGTTTACGTTTATTCCTGCACGGTGCAAGAAGTGTACCGATATCATGAGTATATTTCACGATAACCACCCAACTAGAGCGTAGAGAGAGGAACGATGGTTCACACACATGCACGCATGAAAGACACACACACACATTTTCTGATGCAAAATTTCATAGGATAGAGGGCCAAATGAGAGCTGTGTATTGTGGGTTTGTTGGTGAGCGTTGGGTACTCGTAGGGGGAAATAGCAGAAGAGAATACCACCTCCCTCTATCCATCCATACCCTACCGTTCCTGTGTTCTGGGCGTCTTCTACCGTAGGGCAAAGGGAATAAAAATACATGTATGGGAGAGGAGGGGAAGGCGAAGAAAGTGTAGTGTCTCTTGTATAGCATAGGAGCCTAAGAGCTTGGAGCCATCTGGAGAAGAACGGGCCTCAACCCTACGGCTTCCAGGAGCCAAACTCACTCCCCTTTAACCTCTCCTCCTTTCCCTAGAATTGTAACACCTTTAGCTTCTCGGTGGTCCTTGTTGGAAATCCCCTCCTGTCGCTTCTTGCCCTTCTGTTCGTTTATCCGCATCACGCCTAACCATGTGGAGACGCGTCTACCTCGTTCTTCTCGCCGTGAGGGTCTATTTCGCTCTATCGCCTTCTTACCTACATCCCGACGAGCATTTCCAGGGCCCAGAAGTCATCGCTGGTATTCTATTGCGCCCCCCCCCCCCCCCTGATAACTTACAGCCCTACATCCCCCCGCCATCTCCATCCTCTAGTTGGGTCTAACATTTTGCCCTTGGATGGCACAGGCGACATCTTCGACTGGCGAATTACAAGGACTTGGGAGTTCACTTCGTCCGCCCCGATACGCAGCGTTTTCCCACTATGGGTCGTTTACGGAGTTCCCATGCACCTATTGCGCTGGATTGCCCCTGGGTCGGAGCCACCCAGTCCCTGGCTTGTTTTCAACACCCTGAGGATCCTATTCTTCTTGATATCGTTTGTTCTTGGTAAGTTTGCCTTTCCTACTTTGCGCGGGGTCGCTTGTTTGGTGGGGTTTGTGCGAGGTATCGTTGGGAACGCGGGTTGCGCTGACACCACAAGAGAGGACTGGGCACTTCAAGAACTCATTGCTTCACCGAGACTCAGACGGACGAGTCTCCTACTGCTAGCCAGCAGTTTCGTAACCTGGACCTATCAGACCCATACATTCTCCAATGCTGTGGAGACCATCGGTGTCGCTTGGGCCCTAGTGCTGATACAAAGGATTAAAACCTCGAAAGTGGGTTTAGCCCGTACGAAGTCATCTCTAGCAAAGTCATTGAGCTGACTATTTCAACGACTAGGAGGCGGCATGGCTATCGAGCGGGCTGTTTGGGATGACTGTGGCTTTTTGCCTCTTCAATAGGATCACTTTTCCGGCATTTATTCTTCTCCCGGCTTTCCAATTGCTTCCGCACTTCCTCCGCCAGTAATTGTCACTCTCTACCGGGATTGAGATAGCTGCTAATTGTGTCCCGGCAGTCCTACCTGTATAATCCCCCTTACGCTTACCACCCTTCTCACTGCGGGTGCGGCGGTATACTACGATACGGTTTTCTATTCTGCCAACACACCCACTGCCTCACTTACGTCGCTTACCTCCCTCTTCGAAACTGCGCCGATAATCACTCCCATCAATAACCTTCTCTACAATGCGTCCCCAGCGAATCTCTCCAACCATGGTCTTCATCCCAGATGGACCCATTTCCTGGTCAACCTCCCCCAGCTCCTCGGCCCGGCCATCCTCTGCCTCGTCACAATCCGCCGGGCCTCTCTCCCTGTTCTCTCGGCCATCTCAGGCATCTCCCTCCTGAGCATATTTCCCCACCAGGAAGCCCGTTTCCTTATCCCGGCGGTCCCACTTCTACTCTGCTCCATATCCCTCCCCCGCAATAAAATCCTCAACAAACTCTGGATAACCTCCTGGATAATTTTCAACGTCCTTCTAGGAACCCTCTTCGGTGTCTTCCATCAGGGGGGTGTGATCCCCACCCAAGTTTATCTCGGGAGCCTTCCATCAACGCTAACACCCACCACCGCCGTCTGGTGGAAAACGTACTCGCCACCAACTTGGTTGCTTGGAGCAAAAGACGATAGTCTGACAACAGTGGACCTGATGGGCTCCTCCCTCGACAAGCTAATAGAAACGGTGGAACCACTTGCAGACTGCTCTCAGAAGAACTACTTGGTAGCCCCTCTATCTGCCACCGCGTTAGACAATTTTATTTCTATCAATTCGCCATCGCAATCATTCACGTTAGAAAAGAAATGGGAATACATAAATCATTTCAACCTCGACGATCTGGATTTTGCCGATGACGGGGTATTGCCCACGATACAGCGAGTCGTGGGAAGACGTGGGCTTGCAGTATGGAGGATTGGGAAGGTTGGATGCTAGTTTGGCTTACTCTACTGCGCATACACTATATATTATCATAATATTTCCGTTCCTTTGAGCTGGTTTTGGAGTATTTGGCTAGGTGGAAAGAGGGAGTTGGTTATATCGGCACGGTATGACAGGCACTTCTAATGGGGCCCTATCGTGTTATTATAGGCGTTCTACATCTTTTTTTTCTTTTTGCTCTCCTATTTCAGGGAGTGGCCGGCTCTTGGTCACCGTTTTTATTCCTTTCTTTTGTAATTTTACTTGCTTTCTTTTTCTTTTTCTCTTTTCTTTTCCGATTTGTCAAAGGATAGGGAGGGAAATCATCAGGAATGGGTGGCACGGAGCGATACAGGACAGTGTGTACGGTCTGGGGGGAATTTCATTGGGACGTTGGGAGTCTAGGGCTTGCTTATGTCGATCTGTTACAGTATACCATATCAATACCAGTATAGCGGTAATTTGTTGATATTGAATTTTTTTTTGTCCTGGGCGCTTGTGAGGTTGATAAGTTATATCTTGCTGCAATGTAGCCCAACCGTGTATCATAGCCTGAATGTGTACCATAAAGACCAGACTTGTATAGCCTGCTAATCAATTGATGCGGCGGGAGATATCCGGTGCCGAATAGTACGGTACTTGTACAGTACTCGAGTACATGCTACCGTGCGGCAATCCACGATGCCCTTCTCCAACCAGTGTTCGCACTCACGCCCCCCCCCCCCCTCACACGTTTGGGCGTCGAACATTCTCAGTTCAGGTCAATAGAATGGGGAAGCAAAATGATGAGAAAAATTATGGTAATTGTGAGTCTTTGTGGAGATATGGCAATGATGATGAGATAAAAATACATGCACAGAAATAACAAACACCCTTAACAATGACTATGACAAAGAAGAGACAAAAAGAGGGGAAAAAACAATGCACCTCCCGAACATAAAGACTGGAGAAAAAAAAAAGAAAAAAAGACAAACTGAGAAAAAAAAACATTTGCATAAAGTCAAGGGAATGCGCTATTTTTCTTTTCTTTTGAGAGCTGAGTGTTGGAATCTAGAAGGCAGCAAAAGCAAGGCAGGAGGAGAGATGGGAAAGCAATTACGGTACGATACCGGCACGCACAAGCCAGGTAACACAGGAACCCCCCGGCATAACTAACAAATTACGCATTGTTCCCAGCAGCAGCAGCACCTCTCATTCGCTTCCTGTCAGCAAGCCTCTTTTCCGCAGCGGCTTTCCGTGCAGGGTCCATTGCCGAGGAGCGGGCCCTTCGAGTCCCGCCCGCCGCCCCCGCCCCGCTACTTACACGTCTCCCAACGACCTTACCAACCCTTGTAAATTTCCCGACAGGGCCAGAGCTTGGAGGAGTTGGGGCTATATTGACCATGGAAGCTCGGGGGCTGGCCATTCGGTCGCGCAGCTGTTGAAAGTTGGTGTACTCGTTGCCGTCGGCAACAGGAGTGTCTGGGGGTAGGTCTGGCAGGAGGGGGGAGGATTCGATGTCAAGGTCGAGGAGCTTGCTGTTTGTTTGCTTGGGGGTTTCTGCAAAGGAGGGTGTTGGGAATTTTGGCGGTGGGCTGTTGAATTTCACGGGACTTCGGCTTCGGGGGGTGGATGGCGCGGGGGGCGGTGAGGTAGTTGGCCGATTTCGGCGGTCGAAGCTGCGATCTACTGCGCTATCGTCGCTTGCACTTTCCGGCTCTTTGCCCTCCCGACTCGATGTGGTGGGGAGTGTTGTAACGTTGACATTTGCAGCACCGTTCGATTGAAGTCTTAGTTTCTCGATTTCCTTCTTAGCATCTCGGAGTTGATCGTCCAGTCCAGATTTTTGCGTCTTCAAGGAATAATTTTCTTCCTTAACTTTGCGTAGCTCCTGCATTGTGGTTTTCTGCTTCGTCTGCCATTCTCTGATGTCGTCTCCAGCTGTACCTGATGACGAGCCACCAGATCTCCTAAGTTCATCTAGCTCCGCCTTCATCCGCTCCAACTCTCTTTCAAGTCTTCCAGTATACTCCCTAAGGTCCCCGATTTCCTTGTCGAGTTTCCCCTTCTCCCACTCAGCAGCTGCAGTCTTCCCTTTGGCTTCTGCCACCTCGGCCCTCCACTTCCGTTCAGATTCTCTCTTCTCCTTTGCCTCGTTCAGGGACTTCTCCCGAAGTTCGGCCCTCGAGTCCTTTCTTGCCTTCTCCAAACTTTCAACTTGCACTCTGAGCCGGTTTTCTGTGTTGGATCGTATCCTATTCATACTTTTGTCTCCTTCCTCCTCGATTGACCTCATCCTCTCCAACTCTCTCTGAAGTCTGTCCTTTTCTGTCGTTACCTCCAAATAACCCCTTTCCAAGCCGTCGACTCTCTCTCTCAAATTCTTAGCTTCTAGTCGGACTAGTCCATACTCCTTGGCTTCCAGTTTAGCACTTTTTAGCTTCTTTTTTAAATCTGCCACGACTTCTTCGAGGTCTTGACCATCATTTCCATTAAACATGCTCATTGAAAGTTCCGTGATTTTGCTTTCTCTCTGATCCAACATCTCTTCAAATGCTTGTAATCTTTCCTTGTGCCCTTCAATGACACCCTCCATTCGTTCCCGCTCCTGCTTACTTGCAACTAGCTCTGCATCCTTCTCCCTAATTGTATGCATAGCCTGTTCAAGGACATGATTGTTATAGGAAGAAGAGGAAGTGAATGTATTCGTGTAGCCAGTCGCTGTTGATGGCGCCCCAGAGGCACTGGCGGATAGGCGCTTCAGCTCAATCTTCAGTCTTTTGTTCTTCTCCGTAAACTCTCTGATCCTCTCAGCGAGATCGACACATAGCTCATCCTTCTGTTTCGCGTATCCAGTGGCAATTTTGCATCGGGTTTTGAGCCTATCGACCTTGGACAAAGCTAACCCTTCAATCTTTTCGGTGCGCTCTTTCCAGTATTTCCCAGAATTGGACCGGGGAACTTCCATGTCCATAGTAGCATCTATCTCCTGGGGCTCTTCCGGTATGTCTTCATCACCTTCAGATTCGTCCAGGAAATCGCCAATACGGCTGTCCTCATTAACTTCGTAGTATCCAGCAAGGATAGGGGCAGTTGATTTCTGAGGCTGCTTTCCCTTCTCAGCTTTCTCAGCAGGCCCTGACTGCTCACCATCGTCGGGGAGGCGTGGGGAACTTGGATCCGAACAAGATGCAGAGCGTTGGTGATGAGAGGCGGTAGATACCTTAGGGGTCCAGGGACTTGGAAACTTCCCTGGAAACTCATGCGGAAGACCAGATCTGATGTGGCCATTGCGATTGGGTGGGGTGGTAGCTGCAGGAACTGAAGGATGGAATGTTACAGCCTTTTTACGAGCCATAGCTGTGCCAGGAGTCATGAGGATTCCTTTAGTTGGCGAGACAGGGCGTTTGACGGGAGTACCATTGGCCAGGTTGGGCGGCAGCTCTGAAGTAGCAATAGATGATGGGTCAAATAGATTGGGCCTTCTAGTAATTTTGAACGGAATTGGTTGCACAATGGTGTTGTTACTCGAGGCCTCTAAACCTTCGGTTTTATCTAATGGTCCGGGGTTCCGCTTCGGGGGCAAGGGCAAGTCCTTGGATATAACTTCATCCTTCTCCTCTTTGACGGGTTGTGGATTCGATTTCGATGCCCTTTTATGCGGTGGTTTCTCCTCGAACTTGGGCGGAGCTGGGGTTCCAAACAAAGTCGTTCGAAAGGCTTTAAGGGCAAATACCGCTGGAGGAGTTTGCGGGGGGACCGTGTCATCATCGTCTTTGAATGTCAGCAAGTTAATGAAGACATTGGCATTGAAATAGAGTAGAGTCACCTTCCTCGTCGGAGGACGATGTGTTTGACCCACTATCAACATCTCGGTGCGGGGTAGAGGTGTCCCACAGGGGATCTGACACTTTGGCAGGGACGACTGGTGCGTTTCCTGGCTGGACCTGGCCGCCTTTCAGCCAGCTCAACATGGTGTTTGTAAAATAGTGCCGGTATCCAAAAGAGTTGGGATCGAAGAGTACCAGCAAGGCTTTAGTGAGGCTGACCGAGTCTATAAGTGTTTGGCTCGAGGCCGTTGTTTGTCGTGGTTGCCGATGTCGAAGGTGACGGTGAGCGGGTGGTGGTGTTGCAGTTCGGGAAGAGAACAAAGAAACGAAACGGGAGGGATGCACGAAAGGCGTTTTTGTTTACGCAGATTCCTGCCGTCGCTGGGGCAACACGTCGAAGTGTCAGCTGATAACGCAAAGGCAGCAGCGCCAAATCTGTATATTTACACCGTATATGGTTTAGCCCACCAGTTTCACAAGGCCTGGAACTTGCTTCTCCCGGCTTGGCGTGCCACCAGGGTTTGCCTATGTCAACTCAACGGCTTGTCTCGTCTGGAATCTGGGTGTGGCCCCCTCCATCCTTTTTCCTCCCGTCTTATTCCAACCCCAACCGATCCCAAACCTCTTCTCCCCGCCCCTCAGGAACCGTCACCAATAGTAAAAACAACCCACGGTCCATGGCGTCCGGCTCTTTCTAAAGCTCCGGCTTGAAGGCCGTTGTAATCCCCAGCAAAAACACGCCAATCTCCCCGATCTGCTTCAACTAATTATTACCAACCCCCTCCTTATCTCCCCCTACCAGGTCACACGCACATTTCCGCTTTCACCATCATCCTCCCAGACAAATAGGATGCCGGTCACGAATAAAGTATCACGGACCACCCAGAACCACAAACAGTCCAACCCAAACGGCGCCGACAAGGCCCCCCATCAGAATGCTGGACCCAAACCTCCCCCTGCCACTCCAGGAAAGAAACCCAAACGTGGCTCCATAAGTGCTCCCAAACAACCTGCGATGAGGCCTGTACCTCCTTCCTTGGACTACATCAAAGTCCAAGAAGATGAGATTGAGGTATTGAAGTCCATATTTATGGATGATTATGAAATGGTCGAAACTGTAGGGGCTTGGAATGTGAGCACCATACTTATCTATGTTCTCTAGCTTTGAGTCCCCCAAGGTGGGGACTTTTCGAATTCATTCATAATTTCTAATGGATACCTCTTTTGCGTAGAAATCAAATTTATCCTTCAAAATACATCTCAAAGCTTCCTCGGATGAGGAAATATCTTGTGTCCTCCATGTGACTTTTACAGCTACTTATCCAAAGACTGGTGAGAAACTCGCGATTCGTCGTCGTCGTCGTCGTCGTTGATACCCTACTCACCAGCGCTGATTCTAGCCCCGGAGCTGCGTCTTGTACCATCCTCTGCCATCCAGCCAACTCAGGGGGAAAAGCTACAATCCCTGCTTTCGCAATCTCTGCGCAGGAACTTGGGACAGGAAATGATTTTCGACATCACCTCCGCGATACAGGATGCTTTGGAAGATATCGTCCAATCAAAGTTGGCCGACCAAGACAAACCCAGTCTTGACGGGGAACGAGTGCTAAAGGCAGTGGAGGCTCAACTTCTTGCCAAACAGGAATCAGAGGAAGCTCGTAAGCGTGAAGAGAGGATGCAGATGGAAGCCCGGCGAAAGCTAGAGGAGGAGATAGATGAGGAGATTCGCAGAAAAAAGGCGAATGCTAAACAGTCTCACGAGAAACGAAGGGCCCCATCAATAGACTATGACGAGGTAGCAACCGATGACTGCATTTTGTTTGATCGGGTCATCAGTATCAAGTGTGGGTACAATGCTGTTCCTGTTATGTTCCGCAAGGTCTCTGGAATGGTTAAGATTGCCACTGGTCCTCTCACGTCTGTGTATACCGTTCATCCTGTCCTTGCTCCGAATCAAGAGAATAGTCTCCCGCTGGTGCTTAAACAGGCGGATGTCCCTGATGTCTTGAATACGAAGGGCATGGATGGGAAAAGGAAGGTACAAAATCTGGAGTTGGAATTGGATGAGTTGAGGGGATTGAGGCATAATAACGTTGTGGAAATTTACGGCAGCAAGGTTTCCCGCATCGACGCCTTGTCGAATGGCGGTTACGAGAATTCATCCGGCTCCACGGGAGGTTGGCGAATATCCATACTTATGGAATATTCTAGCAAGGGAAGTCTGCACGATCTGCTGGAAACCGTGGGCCAACTTAATGTCGATATGGTTAGAGCATGGACTATATCTTTGATAGAGGGCTTGGATTACGTACACCGAACGGGAAAGGTCCATAGAGGAATCCATACCAAGAATATTCTTTTGTTCCGCGATACCTCGGGCGACTCAACCATCCCCAAACTCGCGGACATGGGCTATACTCAAGCGTTACGGGAGATAATAGACAATAAGGATGAGCATCCTGAAATCTCCACTGTATCGCTAGCAAAACCCGTTTCTTGGATTCCTCCAGAAAACGCGAACCAGGTAAAGGCCAAACAGAATAATCGCAAGACAGACATCTGGAATCTGGGTATTATGATTCTCCAGATGCTATTTGGGCTTAAGGTTGTGGATAGATATTCTTCTCCGTTCGATCTTATCTATGATATGGACCTTTCGGATTCCTTAAAAGATTTTCTGGAGCGGATATTCAGGTCGGACCCAAAAAAGAGACCTACCACCTTTGATCTACTTCCTTCTGAATTTCTGAGAAGTAGCGATCCTATCCTCGTTCCCGATACTCCATCTACTGAGCTCTCAAAGGCGGACTGGCCCGTGTCAATTAAAGCGAGCTCCAATCGCCCTCGCCGGGACTCCGCTACTGTCGGGAATGCTAGCAGATATGCCAATGATTTCACGGAACTTGGGCGATTGGGTAAAGGAGGGTTTGGCGAAGTGGTTAAAGCCAGAAACAAGCTCGACGGCAATGCTTATGCGATCAAGAAAATCACGAAAATTGGTCGGTCTAAGCTGAACAACATCCTGCACGAGGTTATGCTGCTGAGCAGGTTGAACCATAAGTATGTGATTAGATACTTTACTGCATGGCTAGAGGAAGAAGACCCCAATATACAGGCACTCTCTGAATCATCCGGCGGTGAGGTTGATGATTATGATGACGATGAGGACAGTGATGATAGTGGGCCTGCTGTGTTCTCTGGAAGCTCTACTGGGGCAGAGGATGAGGACGGAGGGGATGATTGCAGCATGGGGAATGAAAGTGACGATGGCATCGAGTTCACGAACGGCACTGGTGGTTTGGATTTCATCAGTGGGGGTGGATATTCAGATGCCAGCTTTGGAGATGAAAGTGACGAATCAGAGGACGGGGAAGTTAGTGGGGAGGGAAAAGAGGAGGGTGTTCTCAAGGCCACGAGAAGCCGCGGCAGGAGGGGCCGGGGGCCTATTTCTAGAAGGAAATCTAATAGTGGGCAAAGCTCCAGATCTACCTTATACATACAAATGTCGCTCGCCGATCGACTGGTACATTTTGTCCCTTATATCCTCATTGCCAATTATACCCGCTGACGTAGTAAGACCATAAGAGATAAGGTCCTTAGCGGCTTGCATGCAGACGAGGCCTGGAGATTACTTCGGCAGGTTCTCGAGGGATTGGCGCACATCCATGGACTTGGGATTATCCACCGTGATCTCAAACCCGAGAATATATTTATCGATTTAAACGGGAATCCCCAGATAGGAGATTTCGGGTTGGCTACCAGTGGGCAGGTGTCAAACAAGACCGGCCAAGCTGGATCAGACGATATAGATCTAACTACCAATGTCGGAACTGTTCTCTACGTAGCTCCAGAACTGAGGACCACCAAGGGCCATGGCAAATACGATGGAAGGGCAGACGTACGTTTTCCGCACCTCGCTTTGATTTGATATATTTTATTAGTCTAATGAGGCGACTTAGATGTACTCTCTTGGGATCATATTTTTCGAGATGTGTTACATTCCTCTTGTCACAGTTATGGAACGTGGCAAAGTCATTGGAAAACTCAGAGAAAAGAAGGTCGACTTCCCGTCTGATTTTGCAACGGACAAAAATGTAGTCCAGGTCTCTATCATCAAATCATTACTTAGTCATGATCCGGCTGAGCGGCCTTCGAGCACGGATCTATTAAACTCTGGAAAATTACCGCTCAAGGTCGAGGACGAAACTATCCGTCAAGCATTACGAACCATCTCGGATCCCGGGACTCCTCATCATCAGCAGGTTATGTCTGCGCTTTTCTCTCAGAGTACTAAGGAGTACAAAGACCACACCTACGATCCTGTGAAAAGCAACCTCTCACGCCACGATACTGTCCTCCAGGGAATGGTCAGAGAGCGTCTCGCGGAGATATTCAGGCACCATGGAGCTGTGGAAACCACTAGACCACTCCTGCTCCCTCGAAGCAAGCTTTACAACCGGGGTGTTGCGCAGCTATTAGATCAGAGCGGAACAGTCGTACAGTTGCCCTATGATCTGACATTACCCCATGCACGATCGTTGGCTAGGCAAGAGACTCTTAGCCCAAAGACCTTTACGTTCGGGACAGTATACAGGGAGAACTCAGCAGGCGGTCAGCCTCAAAGCCATGGAGAAGTTGATTTCGATATTGTCAGCTATGATAGCTACGACCTTGCGCTCAAGGAGGCTGAAGTGATAAAGGTCATTGACGAAATCCTGGATGTTTTTCCCAGTTTGCGCAGCGCCCAAATGTGTTTTCACATCAATCATGCGGACCTTCTGGATATAATCATGGAGTTTTGCAGGATCAGCCCAGAACACCAACCTGATGCAAAGGAGACCTTGAGCAAGCTCAACACTGGCCAATGGCTTTGGCCTAGCATTAGAAAAGAACTGATTACCTCCGGAATCCTACCGACTAGTCTTGACGACCTCGACAAGTTCGACTGGAGGGATGAACAAGAGAGAGCATTCAGCAAACTAAATCTTCTTCTTCGTGGCTCAGACCTAGCTGATAAGGCAAACCCGGTTTTTGCTCATATCCGCACTGTGATCGGATACCTAAAACAATTTGGCGTCACAAGGAATATATACGTCAATCCTCTTGGAACTTGGAATGACAAATTCTATCGTGGAGGTGTTGTTTTCCAATGTGTTGTTGATTCTAAGAAAAAGGGTGTCTTCGCCGCGGGTGGTAGATATGATAGCTTGATACAGAGCTATAGACCAGCTGTCAGAGGTATTGCAGAAGAAACGCATGCCGTAGGATTTAACCTAGGCTGGGAGAAGCTCTTCACCTCCGTGGCTCGTTTCCAAAAGAACTATGCTAAACTGCAACACAAGAAAGGCGAAGATGAGAACTTCGCGCCGTGGGTAACCAGGCGCTATGATGTTCTTGTAGCCAGCTTTTGCAAAACGGCCCTCAGAACCCACGGAATAACGATCCTGCGGGAATTGTGGGCAAACGGTATTAGCGCAGAGCTGGCAGGTGATGCCTCCAGCCCAGAACAGCTGATCAATGCTCACAAAGGGGACGGCATATCCTGGATCGTCATCATCAAGCAGGGCCCCAATTCTTCCCTGGACGGAGACCGTTGCTTGAAGGTGAAGAGCTTGCACCGAAAGGAAGATGCCGAACTGGGGGTCGCAGACCTGGTGCCATATCTGAAGAACGAGATCGCCGAGAGAGAAAAGAAAGAGAGATCTTCCACTCTTCCTGGAAGCCCAGGGGTGCTGACTGGGATGAAATCTCTCACCAGACACCCCAGCTCCGGCGGCGAAATACCTGTACGCCAAGCGGGAGACGACGGCGACGCGGGCGTGAGGATTCTCGCGAGCGACCGGAAAGGTAGGAAAATCAGCAAGGGTAACATTATCACTGCAGGTAGAATCACACTTTCTCCAACAGCTCTTTCTCTAATAATACTAACTATCTCAAACAGCCCAGCGTGCAGCATCCGAGCTTCTCACAGGCTTCCTCCGGGACGCCCCGATTGCCGCGATCGACGTCCGTGATGATATCCTCCATGCGATCAAACATGCAAGTCTTCGCGACCAAGAAGCCTGGCGCAAAATCATCCGGGGCGCCCCTGCCGTCGATAGGAGGTACATCTCCCAAGTTCAGGATCTACTCGCAGACCTCAAAGAAAACTCCCGGGCCAACGGATGCCTCGTGTATAATTACCGCACCGGAGGGACTATTTTTTACTACTTGGCTTGAGTTATGTCCAGTTCAAGTCAAGAGCGTGGCAGACAGAGTGCAGGAGGAGCCGGATTTGTGGTATCTCTTTCTCATCGTTTATTCGAATTCTCTACTGTCTTTTTTCCCCTCTTTTTCCATTTCCATCTCATGCGCCGTAACGACAATAGGGCGGTGTGTGGCATTTTTCTTTTCCCTATTGCGTTGTGGCACTATACATTGAGTGCTTTGAATACCCTTCTATCTGTTAATGTCACCCGTAGTTCGATATGTATTATACCTTTTGCTCTCCCCTATTTCCTGAGGTTCTGCTACTAGTATAAGTTAAGCCGCAAGGCATGAATGGAGATCTAGTGCTGCGTGTGCGGTACTGAGTATATGGGCGAGTGATATTGTATGCGTAAGGAGGTGTAGGCTCGGCATTTCCGAACGATATATCACAGCAATCCGTTTGTTCCATGGGCTCACCCGCCGCCCGAATGACAACAAAACAACCTCCTTTCGTTTCGTTTCCTTTCCTTCGCCTTTCCGCCAGAATCCGTTTCATAGGGCGGAACTATCGTACAATACAATTTACCAGTGCTTGTAGAAAAAAAACAAGACTGCTGTGCCTGCTGTTCAACAACTGAAAAGTATCCACAAACTGGCATGGCAAACCTCCTTCACCTAATGCATGCATCCGAACACCCATTAGCTGTCGTATCCAACTTTCTCGAGTTCATTTACATCCCACACTGACAAGAGAATAAAAGGAATAAAAAGGAAAGAATGAAAGAAAGAAAGAAAGAAAGAAAGAAAGAAAGAAAGAGAAAGCAAAGCCCAAACTCCGATGCATGACAAACACGATGAGGAATGTTTTTTTTATTGGAAAAAAAATGAAAGAAGGAGATAGGACGGGGTAATCAATCTACTTCTTCCCAGCCCTGGGAGTTGGCATAAACCTCGACCGGGCGCTCCCGGGCGTGCCCGCACTCGCACCGAAAATGCCCGAATCACCACCCCTCCTAGCCTTCAAGTTCCCCAGCAGCCTCTGTCCGGCGGGTGTTAGTGCCGTACGGGGGGTACTTTTGAAAGTGGGGATTTCCCGCCCCTTGCCATTCCCACCCAAGGGCGTCATTCTTGGCGTTGTGCCCGTCCCGCCCGTAGCCGTAGCAGCAGTAACAACGGATAACAAAGGGTTGACCGGCGCACGCTTCCCCTTTGCGACCCTGTCCACCATCCGGTGGTGCAGTAATTCCCGTTTCGGCGTCGGTGCGAGTTTAAAGGGCGCGGGTGTCGTCGTGGGGTCGGATATGGAGGCCAGGCTTCCCCAGGTCAGGGGCGGGGCACCGAGTTCGCTAGGTGAGGGGCTAGGCGCATCGTCGACGAAGGAGTATCCGTTGACTCTCGGCGTTTCAGCGGCACCGAAGCGGGATTCCGAAGGAAGTGGGCGGGGGTTTCCGGATATTGCATCACAGATCACGGAGCGGGTGGGTGAGTTTGGGAGTTTCGGGGGCGGGGGGGCAGGCATGCGGGTGTTTGAGTATGCGATCGCCTTGGGTGGGAGTTCCCTGTCCGTGGACGACGGGGCAGGGGGAGGGGAGAGCTCGGGGGTGAACATGAGGCCGTTCTTCGGCTCAGCTTTCCAGGTGTTTGGAAAGGGTTTGCGGTTGTCTTTCCATGCGAGGGATTTCATCGGGCCGCCAGCTTTCTCCTCGCTCTCCGCTTGCGCTTTCAGGCGCTTTTGGTGCGCCTTCGTGCGGAAGCCGGGGATCCTGTTATCGTTCCAGAGGAAGGCGTACGCACTCCGTTTCTTCTGGTTCTGCTTGTCGAGTAGATCGTTGAAGGAGGCATTGTCTTCGGACGTGTACTTCGCCTGGAATGCATCCAAGCTCAAGTGCTTCTCGTAAACCGGCTTCTCCACCTCCTTCTCCCCGCTGTCCTCCGCCGATGCCATGGGATTACTCGACGCAGTGGGCGTGGCGGAGAGCTCGCGGAATGCTCGAGGTGTGGGTGTAGTGAGACTAGTGCCCCGTCGGGTCCGCCCGAGACGTGGAGTCGTCATGACCTCTGTGAGCCTGCGCCCGGCTTCGCGGATCCATTCTGTGTCATGAGAATCGAGAGCGTCGAGGTATTCTTGTTGGTGCTTCGTTTCAATCAGCCCAGGGAAGAAGTCGCGAGCGATGATTTCGGACTGAACCTGTGGTTAGCTTCATGAGGACGTAGGGAGAGGAGGGGTCCAAATCGTACCAAGGCATCGGTGTACCGATCTTCGTCCAGAACGACAGGGGGGCGCTTGATCCTTTTTGCTGGGGGTGGTGGCGGCATGAGCTCCATGTCGACTTTGCGGGTCAGCGCTTTTGAATCCGCGCTTGAAGACGCCATAATTGTGGTTAATGATGGCGAGAGTGATGGTGAAGGTGAGAAAGTACAGTAGGAGTGGGTATGGAAGGCGACTCTTAGGGTTGAGAGGGATCTAAAGGCTAAAATTTAGGCCAAGGCGCGTGAAAGGTTGGGAGAAATACCGTACGGTAAGTATGATAGAAGTACTTGTATCATACTTCATACTGTGTTACGGTTTTTGGGTGTGGCGTCGGGAGAATTGATCACATGCCTCACAGCCACAATTCCCGGGGGACGCCACAGGGGCAGAACAAAGTGTCCTCTTCGCTTCCTCCTTTCTTTTCCTATGCTCTCCGCCCACTACCTCATCTTGACACTGCTGCCACAAACGCTCATTTCTCTACAGCTCTAAATTTCCCACTCTTCACCCCGCCTGGGAACTGCAAGAAACAAAGGCTTCAAGGGAAAAATACGAGAATACAAAAAGCATGGCTCAATCCACCGACGTCTTCGTCGTCGTTCCCATAGAAATGGACCCAACCACCAAAGCTATCCAAGCTCTCCCCTCCTCGAATGACCCCCTCCTCGCTCGGGAGCTCGAAGCCCTCAACAACCTCCACCGCACTTTAAAATCTGTTCCCGAAATCACCAACGGTATCCCACCCCCACCCACCTCCGTCGGGCCCAAACGATCCGCTCTAATCGAGCGTATGCGCCAAACCGGTAACAGTGCCTTCAAAAAAAAAAACTATTCCGAAGCGGTCGACCTCTACACACACGCCATCACCATGGCACTCACCCGCCCTCCCTGGGAGCCCAGTGCACTATTGAGGGACGAGTTACACCAGCTGTATGCGAACCGTGCGCAGGCACATATCGGCATCAATAACTGGCCTGAGGCACTCGCGGATGTGAACGCTAGCATCGATCTCAAGCGGGTGGGGAATCCGAAGGCGCACTGGAGGAAGGGGAAATGTTTGAAGGAGATGGGGAGGCATGAGGAGGCAAAGGAGGCATTAGAGTTTGGGTTGGAATTTGGAAATGACACTGAGTTGGCGCATATGCTGAAGGAGGTTAACGAAACTCTTAGCAAGAGGCAGTAGTAGTGGGCGGCACCCTGCTTCTGAAGACGGTTGCCCGGTTAGTAGATGTTCGGGTGGGTCCCGAGGATCATTTTCTCTCTCTCTCTCTCTCTCTCACATGTTCGATGTTCGATTGGCTTTCTAGAGCTAGCCCACATGAGCTGGGGTACACAATTTCATACGTTTGTACGATAGTTTCAGTTCAAGGCGTTTGCTTAAATGATTACCACTCGGATACAAGCACCGACGGTGCTCAGTTACTCCAGTCACCGGGACTCGGAAGGTGATAAAATATGGGGCATCCTTGAGAACCCCCCCCCCCCCCCCGACCGATGTAGGCGCACCATCTAGAGCTCCGCGAGCGAAGATTGGATGGTTTGATCTACTTCATTCTTCCCTAGCTCCACTTAAGCCGGTAAACATATCGCCTCCATGTTCACCTAGAAGCAAGCAAATCCCCCTCTCCGCATCAAGACATTAATAAGGAAATCCGTCAAGTCATCGCACATCACTCGACATTCTAGGCCGCTTCTCGACGGAGGTCGTGCGCAAAGAGTCAGATCGAAGACAAAGTACCGAAAGATATGTGGGACAATATGGATAGAGTGTCTCACCGTCCCACTCATACTAATAGCTGCGTCTATGGGTAAAACATGCATATGGCTCCTTTTTCAATTCCTTCAGTATCAAGTAGTAGACTACCGGTACCGCACAGACGATTTTGGGAAGAACCCAGCCAAAGGCTTCATACTCCGGATCAATCGACAACGTTTCTCCACGCAACACGTAAATTCAGAAACCCACCAAACCTTTTCCCCTGTAGCCACATAAGTTACCACATAATCTGGTGGGACTTGTTTTCGCGCTGGGGGAGAAGAGGAGAGAATAAGCCGAGAGTCAGGGATTTCCCACAAAGTAACACTTCCCATTTAGCACTTCCATTCAAGTGAATGGCAAATTCCGTAAGAAATAATGCCAACAGTAAATATTTGCGAGAATCCTACTCCTAAAGATTACCCTCTACTCAACGGAGATCGTGTATCGCACCACCCTTTCTTGGGCCCTCTTAGCTTGACAACAAGCTCTACTAGGCCAAAACCCGCCCTCTAACCCCAAGTTCCCGCAAATCTGAGCACGCTGAGCCATTGGCATCAGAGGAGCAAAAGGGGAACTTGAATTAATTGCTCTCGTAATTTTGTGAAGAGTCCCTTTCCAGAGTCGCTAATGGCTGCTATCCCATTCTCCTTTCGTAGACGAGTTCGTCATCCACTCAGTTTTGCCATCTCCCCCCATAGAAACTGTCGTACAGGTATGGCCGAACGGTAACGCAGTCAGATAATCCAGTGGAATACAAATGGCGGGGATCCCCCACTCCATTGAGAAATTCACTACTTTCCTCTTCCATCCACCGTCCCCGAGACCATTGCACCTCTCATTCCATCATCTCCAACACCTACCTAGCAATCCTGCCCTTGCCCGCACCACTAGCTATTGCCCCTTATGCCCTCTCTTCTATCTTGTCCTGGGTTACTTGTCCACTCACAAGCCCTATTGCGAGTACGTGCTATCAGATACCCTACCCGCCACCCACTGCCTCCCCTAGTGTTCGTTACGGGGCGGGGCGGGGCGGGTTTCCGCAAGTTCTCCCCGCCCCGTTACGGCCACAGGGTGCCGCCAAACTCCCACTCCCCGCCCCGCCCCCCGCACGGGGGCTACCGGGTGACCCCAATTGTGCTCCCAGCCATATAATTTAGTGGGAGCAGTAGTGGGGCCCCGTATAGGGGGTGGCCAGGGCGGGGGGCCGTATTGGGCCGGGGGGGGGATGGAGGAGAAAATAGGCCCCGCCCCGGGCCAAACGCCAGGACGGGGCGGGGGACGGGGGCAGGGACTTGCAGTTTTCGGGGCCCCGGAGGCCCCGCAACGAACTCTAGCCTCTCGTTAGTAGGTTTTTTGTGGGCTCTAGCCCTAGGTAAGGAGAAACCCGGATAGGAGAGGATGGTTACCTTGCACGCAATCCGTCTCATCACCACTAATTCAACTAACGAGTACTCGAGTACAGTACTGCAATAGTGGGACCGCCTAAAGGAGGTCAACAGACAGGTGCTCGGCGTGGGGAAGGTTTGCTTCCAATATCCTATTTGTTTGGTTCGCAGCTGGCTCACGCTACTTATAGGAGGTAATGACCATCAAATCGCCTTCTCTAAAATGATTTGAAGTCAAGAAATCGCCTTCACAAAAAGCATCAAAGATCAGGAAATCGCCTTTTCAAGAATCATCAAGGATCGGGAAATAGCCTTCGCCGAAGTGATTAGGGATCTGGAAAAGCGGACTGAGATTGGCTCCGCTAAACTCGAAGGCAAGCTTGCATTAATACATTGGGAGATTGCCCTTGTGGGGTCCGGGCTAGTGGCCTTTCTGGGCGTAGGTTATCTATCCGTGGTTTCAGGTTTTGACAGCTTCTAACAGGATAGCTTATAGTTTATTGGGTACTCGAGTACACAGTTAACTGGGCCATGAAGGCAAGCATCCCGGAAATTGTTGCACCTGTCGAACCCGTGTCCGTGATGGTACAAGTTCCCATGAGAAATGGCTCGATAGCGTGCTCCTCACAAGTTATTAGCCCATGCCGGAGCTGTAAACCCTTTTTTTTCTTGATCTTGTATTTTTTTATCTTGTATGATAACTTTTTATCCTTCGCTTTTCCTTTCCCCCTCTGCCCCTCTGCCCCTCTGCCCCTTGCTTTCTCGCTCTGTTGCTTTGCATTCTCTCCCCATGCCCCCTGCTCATGGTTATAGCGCATCTAGAGGGTCAGGAGAATTGCCGCCCGCGTTTCATGTTTCTTTCCTTTACGTTCTGTAGTTTTAGAGGCTGCGTGGCCGCAATCTGAAGATAATGGGCTGGTTTTTAAAACCAAGGTTTACTAGACGTCATCACAAGTAGGCACATCAGTTATGGTTTGCGTTAATCACTTGCAGAAAGAGCTCGTGAAACCCACCGGGAGTGTGGATCTTTTTTAAACTCATCGGGGCAGAGGTTACACTTGTTTCACTGTCAGCAGGACCCTGTGAATGTCCTCCCAGATGGCGGTGAGGATCTACGAGTACCGGTACTGTACTTGTAATGGGTCCACCTGGAGTATGATATCATACAAGTACTAGGCGGTAGGCATAAGTGAGTCGAACTCAAGGTTTACCTGTCAAAATTAGGAATGGGTATCATAACAATCCTGTGGGCCACTTTTCGCCTTCATTCCCTCGAGATGGAAAATGGTTAAGCGAACTCTTGGCAAAAGGTCTTCACAATATCCGACCCGTCCATGAACGAATCAGCTCAGGTTCGCCTCACACGCTCTTAACCACCAGTGCAAGACCAATAATCTTGCGAGTGTTCGTGTCAGTTTGGGGATAAGGGGCATAGGATTTATCCTAAGCAACCATCGACAAATGCCATTATATAATGTCATAATACTAAAGGATTCCTGTGGCTCCGTGGTGTAGTTGGTTAAACGCTTGTCTGCCGCTGAAATAAATACCCTTGCTCCCCCGCTAAACTTAATTTAACTTTAGCTAACCTCAAAAGCAGCGGAGCTGCAGGGTACAATACAAGCACTCTAAGTTACTGTACGAGTACTCGAGTACTAGTACCGCACCAGTTGGGTTAATTTGTCTCGGCTTTTTAAATAAATACCGGTATCGGCAGGTCAATAAAGTGAGGTGGAGAGAAGGAAGTACACTCACACCCCGTTATCCCGGACGGCCAAAATCTAAAGAATCTGTCCGGTACAGCGGGTTATCCGGAACAACGAGTCAAGTTTTGCTGTGGAAAAATTTCGAATTCACAACATTTCATACGGGACAGCGAGGTATCCGTATTATAGAGATCCGGGATAGCGGGGTCTGAGTGTATTCATAATACTATGTAGCAAGATCTCCTGTAGGGCAGCTGAAGGAGGCGGTTGGGAACTAAGAGAATCAGGTCAAAAGAGGTCACATGATGGGAGAGCTCCGCAAACCCCCGAAGATCTTGTGCAATTAAGTTAATATCCCCCCCACCTGGGACCGGTGGGCGAAGAAAGGCTTTCTCAAAGGTAAGCCTCAAGGGACCTCCAGTAACAGAACTTCCATCGATGTTGATTTCGTTGATTCTCATAGGTCTGGTTAAGAGGGAATGAGGGTTGCCTTGTGCGATATAGGGATTCGGTACAGTGCAACCTCACTATGCTCTACGTGTGTCATCCGCTGCAGTTTGGAGACAGAGATAAGATGAACAATGTTGAGGTAATAGAGAGAATTATGGTCTGTGGGGTCGGGGGGTAGAGTTATTGTAGATTGTGAAAGGCACAGCTCCCTGGAGGACAGAATAAGTGCAACGGGAATAGATAATTTACCCTTGTTAAAGACTATTCTAAATAGTATAATACAACAAGTAATTCGAAGGATAGAGAATAAGTGAAGAAGAAGAACAAAAAATAACTTCTACTGTATAAGAGTAGAAAGAGACAAACAAAAAAGAAACAAGACAGATATACAAAACAAAAACAAAAGTAGCCCCACTAGAGGGACTTGCACGGAAATCCACTGAAGTCTGACAAACTCTCCCGCAAGAGCACCCCACTCCACACGGCCCCCCACCCTCCCTTCCCCTCCCTGGATCCTAGTACTCCGCAAGAAATCCCGCCTACGGTCTCTAAAAGTCAAGCTCACCGGCCACACCACCCCGCACAACAACGCTCCCCCCGATAGCACACCGCTCGCAAAGCACCGGGACCTCCCGGGAGGCAGCGGGAGGAAACGCTCGATTCAAAGGGCCTCAGTGGCTGCTACCCGCAACGTGCCCCTTTCTTGCTAATTCTGCCGTGATTTCGACTCGTCTTTCTTTCTCATTGCCATTCTCGAGGCTAAGTTGTGCGTTTTCGGCTAAGAGGACAGCAATTCTATCTTGTTGTTGATTTTCCCTGGAGGCCTGAGCAAGGCTTTGTACCCAAATTTGCGCAGCCGCCAAAATTGCGGCCCCTCTAAGACCGCTAATAATTGTGGCAAGCGGAACAGCATATCTCGACATCGTTACGCAACCTAAACTTCTGAGTTAGTAACTACGTTGGCTCCTGCTTCAAGGATTCTGCTAACATACCTATGAATCCCGATAATATGACCGAAGTGG